ATTCGTATATATATATATATACACAGTATATTATATACATATATTTATACACATACATACATACATACATACATACATACATACATACATACATACATACATACACACACACATGGGGTTGGGGTTCTCGAGAGGACTTCGGGTTAAGGGAATCTTCATACGTATATATTGGCTTACTTTGGTGTTTTAGGGTGCAGGGTTTAGGGTTCGCTGGGGTGCTGTATGAGGTAGGACTCATATTAGGGCTTTAGTGAATGTACATAGGACTCCTTGGGAAGGCTGGTGAGTGCATAAGTCTCTTTTTGGAAATACTTCGTGCGGCGAAAAGCCTTCTCTGCATAATTCTGTGATTCTTATCTGTGACCAAGAACAAAAAAGCACTGTAGCTTGCAGTACAGAGTGTAAGTGTAAGTAATGAGAGGGAACAGGGATATTATCTGAATTCCAGGGGTCTATGGATGCAGGATCGGCATGAGTGGGCTTCAGTGCCACATGGGCTTTTCCTACGCGCCCCTGTTGGGGAGTGTTTTTGATGATTCCTTCGGGATGATGCTCGACCAAAAAGAGGCGGACACATCCTCGGGCCAAGACCGCACAACCCCAAAGTCCTCGCAACAAGCACACCCTAAACCCCAAAGCCTACAAGGCATGCTCCCCGGGCCGCCAAGAAGGGCCAAGCTGGTTTTCTCCAGTGCATCCGATTCCTCATCGCGCGCTTCCGCGTGGACTTCTGGTGGTACGGAGCCTCGCCACGTCATTGTTTCTTGGAAAGGGGTGGCTCTCGCCGTACGAACTAGTTAGGGATGTCAGTGTGTTGGGGTAATATAGGGGCTTCAATACTTACATATATGATTTTGGGGGTTCCTTATTATAAACGTATCATAAAGGACCCCAAAACCTATTCTAATTATTAAGGCCTCTACATTAAGTATGTGTTGTTGGGGCTTTCGGGCGGATGCAGCCCTCGGACGACCCACTACCCCCTAAACACCCGCACACCACTTCCCAAAAGCCAACCTGCAACTTGAGCTCGGAAGCCCAAGAAGTATTCTGTGAGAAGGTGGCTTCGATTGCAAAACGTCAGCCTTGGCTAAGTGGCAAGCCATCCTTCGCCAGCGCGACAATCGGAGGATAGGCTCTACCCACTTTGCCTACAGACCCTTTGAACCCTACACCAAAAACCCCCAAACGCTTGCTGAACCCTAGAAACCCTTATGGAATCCCTAGAAACCCAAGAGCCCGAAGGATTGAAATTTCGAAAGCCCCAACCCCCTTCTTCTCCGATGCTTAGTAGGGAATGGGTGAATGGATCCCTATGATAGTCCCTTAAGGTTTCTTTTTGTAGTCCCTATAACCCATTCCCCCATTCCCTACTAAGCACCAGACAGTCTTCTCCGATGCTCGAGCTTAGGAACCTTGGTGCTGCCGCGTGGCCTTATGCTTTCTCTCTCCATTGTCCTGGCTGCTGCCTCTTGCCATGGTTACGGTTTAGGGTTTAGGGTTTAGGGCTAACTAATTGGGCCAGTTGGGCTTCAGGGCTCTGGAAGTGTTGTCATGAGAGTTCTAGTATAGGGGTCCAAAAAATATTATAGTATAATTACAATAAGAGGCCCCCAAAGCCTTATTCGAATTATTAAGGCCCCCTACATTACAACGTTCTACAGGATCCGTTGCAGTATGTCGGGATGTATGGGGTCTGCCAGGTTTTATACCAGGGATTGGGGGAGTTAGGGACGTCCCTACATATTAGGCAGGAGGGTTGGTATCCTCTTCATGGGGTGACTTCGTATGTCAAGACTCCTCCTACTTCCCGTGCTGATCCTCCTTCTCTCACTCGTCGTATTCGTGTGACTACTAAGGTTGTGAGTAGGGTGAGTAAGGAGCTATGTTCCTGAATATTGTTCTTCTCTTGACTTGTTTTTCATGACCCTAAACCCTAAACCCTAAACCCTAAAACCCAAAGGCTCAGGCCCCGGAAGTTGGGAGCTCTTCTCCTCCACCCATCCTCTCCCTGAGAAGCTTCGTCCCACGGCTCTGCAAGCCCAGAGCCAGAGAAAAGAAACCTACAGAGCCCTAAACCCTAAACCCCTAAACCCTAAACCCTAAACCCTATACCCGTACTCTGTACTGGAAGATCGTGTAAGGATGAGCTGAAGGATCTGTCCTTAGATTCATCTTAGGCGGCGGAAGAGCGAGTAATGCCATCGCCTTTGCCGTCCTTATATAACAGATTAGGGGTTTAGGGTTTAGGGTTTAGGGTTTAGGGGTTTAGGGTTTAGGGTTTAGGGGTTTAGGTCCAAGTTTAGGGGTTTAGGGTTTAGGGGTTTAGGGGTTTAGGTCCAAGTTTAGGTTTTTGGTAACTATGCGGCCTCCTATTTTACAGGGCGTCAGGAGAGGAAAGAAAAGGCCCTGAGCACCCGCAGAACCATGAAAAGACACACTTCCCATGTTGAGGCGCGCTCGTTATAATTTCTTGGTAATTAGTCATGATGTTTGTAGGGGTCCCTGTTGGTTGGTAGCTTACCTAGGCCCAGGGACCCCAAATTCCAAACCTCTGAACCCCAGACCCTAAACCCTAAACCCCTAAACCCTAAACCCCTAAACCCTGAGCCCAAGGACTACCCGTATGTTCAGATGCTCCTCATCGTATTCATCATCCTGACGCAGCTTGTCTGTGTGGAGCTAACAGCTACCTATTTCGGAATAATCTTCGGGTTCCCTGGAGCATTCCTTCAAGGGTTGTATAGAGCTTTACTGTGGTCCTATAGGCTTTCATCTACGGCACCAGGGTGTGCGATGTGTGTTTTTTCGTACAAGCCTTGGGCTTCGGCTGCAGCGGTTGGTGGAGTCTCTAAGGGGTTACTATAAGGGGCCTAAATTATCACCTATACTAGTTTTGGGGGTTCCTTATTATAATGATAGTATAAATATACCCCAAAACCCTGTTCTAAATATAACGGCCCCTACATTACGATAGCTTCTGAGGTACTCAGGGCTGGCATCTGCAGGGACTCCATGAATTCCGGATGAGAGGAAATCCACAAAGAAATGGACATCCAGAAAGAACCCTCGGGCTCAGGGGGTTTGAGGTCGGGTTTAGGGCTTATAGGGTTTAGGGTTTGAGGTCGGGCTTCTAGGGTTGATAGGGGTCAGAAATGGTCCATCTCAGCTCCTGGAAAAGTTCCGATTCCGCGAAACCTGTCCGGCTGGAGACCAGGCCCTACGCTCCATTAGGGTTTGGGTTTAGGGCAGTTTAGGGTTTAGTGTTTGTTTAGGGTTTCGGGATTCGGGTTTAGGGTTTAGGGTTTAGTCAGGGTTTAGGGTTTATCTGAAAGCCAAAAACCCAAACCCAAGCCCAAGAAAGCCCAAAACAAAAGGGTAGGGTTTGGATTTGTTCCAAAGCTGTTAGGGGCGGTTTGGTGTCTGGGGTGTTTAGGGGGTCCCTAAACCCTAAACCCTAAACCCTAAACCCTAAACCCTAAACCCTAAACCCTAAACCCTAACTGCTTGGATCCTCAAGGAGATGCTGAAAGCCCCAGGCCTTGTGTGCAAGTGCTGCCTTACGAGCACAAGCTTACGGAACCCGAGCCATAGTCAGAATATCGTTTTGGGGTTTATCATAATGTGGCAGTATATTTAGGGACTACAGTGACTACAGTCAGTGATAAATACTCATTATTCCCAAGCAGACGCGTTCGCAGCAGCACGCCATCAAATCGTGATGTGAGCCCTCGGGCTCGGGCCCAAACCTCGAAATCCCATTGAAGATCAGGTGCTGTACCAAGGGAGCCCTGGACCGTAAGGGTTGTTGGCGTAGGGTGGATTACGGACTTCGTTTGCTTGCCCGCAGTTTCAGACAAAGTTGAACTACCTGGTACATTGTACTGTGTAGCACAGCCGAAGGCCCGGCAACCGAAACCTTAAGCAAGCTCGTAGGATTTCGTCGTAATACGTTCTATATAGATCTATTACGCCTAATAATCACGAACCCCATTCTAAACACTTCAGCCTCCTATATTCCAGGTACATGGTGGTGCAGCTTATCGTGTGGCCGTGGAAGCTCCCAGCCCTCAATCTTTTCGATGGCCTCGCCAGGGTCTCGGAGCACGGGGTGCCGAAGACTGCAATCCTCACACAGCTTTCGCTACTATTATCAGTATCACTATTATTTTGATTCTGGTTATGACTTTTGCGATTGTTCGGATTTGGGGTATGATTATTGAATGTTATCGTTATTGCCGTTGTGACAATCATGAATGTTGATGGCGGTTATCGTGGTGATTACGGTTATCCTGGCTGTTATGACTGTTCTGATGATCATGATGACGGTAATGATGATGACGATGATGCTGTTTATCAGGTCTTTTTTATTGCTCTGGACATTACTGAGTTTATGATCATGAGCATGTCTGCCGGAATCAGTAGTAGTCGGTAGTCAAGATCAGTATCATGATCACTAGAGTTATCGTCGTTTCCACAGTCGTGGAATAACTAGTGATGCTCTTGTTAGTTGCTGTTTCATAGTCTTGTCATGTTCCGGGTAAAGGAGCCCGGCCGTCGGATTTGTAAGGCTTTCGGGTGCAGGGGGCTTTCGGCCCAGCAGTCAGAGTTTGGTTTGCTGGCAGTTTTCCTTCGGGCGCCCGAGTAGTTCGTAAAATCTTTCACTCAGCGCCCCAAACTCCACACAGCAGAACCCGACAAACCGTCTCAAACCAGCTACAACCAGATGCTGCATGCCTCTCACGTTCGACAGCACAGTGGAGACAAGCTCTTGATTGGAAGCAGTGTTGGGCAGGGGCCAAATGTGATATAGCCTTAATAATTACCTATACCATTGTGGGGGTTCCTTACTACAGTTATAGTATACTATACCCCCAAACCCTATTCTAATTATTAAGGCCCCTACACTGGGGGCCTCGATTATTCGAAGAGGGTTTCGAGGCATTTTATAGTCTGCTTACAATCAGACACCGTAAGGACTAGTCTTCTGGTTTCTACGACCCCCCTACGTTAGGCTTGCGCGCTGGTCATGGCGACAATGAGTCCGGCACGGTGCACGACGACTTTTGCATTATAAAGACTACGGGCTTAACGCACAGCGCTCTGATGTTCAAGCCCTCGTCAGCCACCAAATCCGTGACCTTGCCCCACGTGTTGCGCCTGGCCACACCAAGAGCCGCATGCGCGGCAAGTGTGTAGCAATCTCAGGCCTTCTGCTCTACAGACGATGGCCCAGTAGAGCAAGGATTGTTTCAGAATTACAGGTGTCACAGCAGCACCAGACGCCGTATGTAAGCTGTCTGGATTATAAAGTGTAGAAGGATGATGATCAAGCCGACTGCATGACACCAAAGTCCAAAAGCCCCAAGCCCTGAAACCTAGACCCCAAACCCTGAAGCCCTACCAAACCCGTACACCCGGAACCCTTGAACTCTTACATAGCCCCAGCGGGAGTTTCCCTAAACCCTAAACCCTAAACCCTAAACCCTAAACCCTAATTTATAAGCCCTGAACCCTAAACCCAAAGGTCAGCGTCTGCCTCATCATGATGATGTCTACCATGGGAGCCTTCACACCCGAGTTGCCACTGGAGCGCCATGGCTTTTCTTCCCAGGGTTGCTAAGTCTGCTGAGCGCCCTTTCTGCGCTGAGGGCTGAGGCTACTTAGCTTTTGGTGTCAGGTGGGCATGTGGGCATGTCATCTGAGCAGTTCTCTAAATTAGGGTCCCTTTGGGACCTAAAGAGGGACCCTCATTTAGAGGACTACCCATGTGCGCAAGATGGAGTCTCAGAGGTGTCTGACAGGTGCTTGTCTTCAGGCTGTATATCGAAGACTTAGGATGTAGGCGCATGGATTCCTTTTTCGGCCCGCTTCTCTAGGCTTGTAGGGGGTAGGGTGTTTTGGAATTTTGCTGTTGTGCTTTGGGGTGAGAGCTTTAGGTGGTCGTGTTGCAGGGGGTTAGGTTTTAGGCTTTGGGTCTTTGGCATGTTTGGGCGTGTTCAGCACACATAACTACCTTGCTGGACATGTGTGAGACTGCTGATTTTGCTTGGCTTTGAAGGCATCTACTACTATCCCTGAACTTTACGGTCGTATTAGAAGTCGAGTGAGGTTCAGAGTTGCGATTCTACTCGGAGATACTGCAACGGCCGGAAGGGAAAGGTCAGAGTATTTCCATGCGGAGGTCTCATGCAGGGAATCACTTCGCTACTGGATTTTGCCGCTTGCTCTCGAAGCAGATCTATAATGACCAACTATTGCGATTACGATTATGACAGTCACCATTATTATTCTGACTTTTCGTGTTACGACGTTAAAAATTGCTAAAGTTCCGTGAGGTTTGAGTTTTACAACCTTCAGCCTCGGTCAGGTTTGAGGTTTTGAGCCCTCCGAGGCTGCGTGAACCCTAAACCCGAAACCCTA